CTGGCTTTATAGGAAGTTTTGTGTTTTATTTAAAATTTATTTTAAGTAGCTGTTGAACTATAAACAAAGTGGAATAGACTTATTATGGGAAAATAATTAAAATTGTTATTTTTAAATGTGTCTAAGTCTTGATTTATTTACCTGCCAAATAGGAAACCTGCTACTATGTTTGCATTGTGGAGTTAGTCATTTTTATACATGCAAGACACCATTCCAATAAAGATGGGACAGAATTAATGTCTTTTGCATTCTGGGATGAACAAGGATCAAATGTTAATGAAAAATAGAGAAAACCGTTAAGTCAGTTTTGAACCCATTTGGATGAATCCCTCACCACACCTTTTTGCACAACATCTGTATATTTGGTGTTTGACAAACCAGATATCATATTAGCATACAATGCCCAAAAGCAGCTAAATGAAACTTAAAGGGGTCATATGATGCGATTTCAATTGTTCCTTTCTCTTTGGAGTGTTACAAGCTCTTGGTGCATAAAGAAGATCTGTAAAGTTGCAAAGACTAAAGTCTCAAATCCAAAGAGATATTCTTTATAAAAGTTAAGATTCAGCCACGCCTACCTGAAATGGCTCGTTCTAACACGCCCCCACATACCTACGTCACGATCTGGGAAGGGGTTTTATTTTTACGCGGCGCGATGCAATGCAACGCAACGCAACGCGTAAAAAGACAGTATAAGTCATTATAATCAGTAATTATGTCCCCACTGGATGCAACAAATGCCTCGTTTGTAATGGGTTTTAATGTTTAATTTTTGTCTCGTCGCTCCGGCCGGGACAGGCATCAACAGTATGGTGAGGGGCATAACATTTCCGTCACACGCTTGAGGTATTCGGCCAATCACAAAGCACTGGATAGCTGGCCAATCAGAGCACACCTCGCTTTTTCAGACCAATGAGCTTTGTAAAAATTCACGCGTTTCAGAAAGGCGGGGCATAGAGGAGAAAAAATAATGCATTTCATTACACCAAATACACAAAATAATGTTCTTTTTAGCAGTATCATATGACCCCTTTAACTTTATGCATGAAATCGTGACCACTGTATTATGAGCCTTATTAACAACTGACCACATGATGGTGCCATTGCGCAACACATCGATATGTGGCTGTAGCTGTTGTCAAGCTGACCATAACAAATCCAAATCACCAGTATGTCCATATTGTAGGATTGTCAACTCACTCACCTTTACATAAACACTCACTGGAAGGTGGAACAAAGCTTTATAGTGCATCTAAACATTGCAACCTTCAATATCAAAACAGAAGTCCTCCAATCAGTAGGTTAAAACGATGTGAATTCCTCAGTGCTTCATCTTTGGCCTCTAAAATCATTGGCTATAATCTGGAAAATCTTAAAACGTTTTTTTTTTACTTTTAAAACTCTACTTTGATGGTCACAATAGTAAATATATCACAAAACCGGCACCTCTGAGCAGCCGACATTCAGAGATACAGGTGGGAAAATGAGAGAGCAGCAGGATCGTACATCTCACCCTGAGGAGTAACAGGTACAAGCCGCACAGCTGAGACGGCATGTTCAATGCAGTTCACCATCTGGCATCTTGGAGAAATTCTCTTTCATCACCTTTTCAGTTAAACACATTGGAAGTACACAAGGACAATGCACAAACTAGGATATGCTTCACATGTGAAAATATTCCAGAGAAATAGAACATACACACTTATGCTGATTTTGAAGAATACATGCACAAGAACGCCACACCAGAATGATACATGATCTCTCCTAAAACGTGAAAAAATAAGTAACTAAAAAAAAAAAAAAAACGTATTTTGCCATGAAATCTAAATACTTTACCATTAAAGGAACACTCCACTATTTTTGAAAATAGGCTCATTTTCCAACTCCCCTAGAGTTAAACAGTTGAGTTTTACCGTTTTCGAATCCATTCAGCCGATCTCTGGGTCTGGCGGTAGCACTTTTAGCTGTAGCTTAGCATAGATCATTGAATCTGATTAGACCGTTAGCATCTCGCTCAAAAAAGACCAAAGAGTTTCTATATTTTTCCTACTTAAAACTTGACTCTTCTGTAGTTACAAGTGTACTAAGACTGACGGAAAATGAACAGTTGCAATTTTCTTGGCCGATATGGCTAGGAACTATACTCTCAATCCGGCGTAATAATCAAGGAACTTTGCTGCCGTACCATGGGTGCAGCAGGCGCAATGATATTACGCAGCACCTGAAAACAGGCTAACTTCCGTCAACATAACCAACATGACCACCTGCTTGCACAGGGAGCGTGCTGGGGACTATTTTCAGGCACTGCGTAATATCATTGCGGAGAAGAAGACTTGGACTATGTGCATAAACCTTGCGCGCGGTATACAAACGAACATGGAACAATACATTTATTAATCTGTG